ACTTCGCTATGATGCGATGTGTATGATGTGTGTGGACTGTGAAGCACTGGCAGTGTCCGTTGAGAAAATGTATAAAATGTAACGTTTTTAAAATAGATACATCTGACTGGTTGCATTTGAATTGAGGCTCGTAATAAATAATGATACTGTTCTGTGAGGATGTGCAGTTTTCTCTTTTTTTCCCCATCCCATCGAGACCGCTATGTCCGAGACCAAGACAAGACCGAGACCATAGAGTCGAGACCAAGACAAGATAGAGACCAAATAGAGTCGAGACCAAGACAAGACCGAGACCACAAAAAATTGGTCTCGAGACCGGTCTCGAGACCAAGACCGGTCTCGAGAACTACAACACTAGTTCTGGTTAAGGTTAGAGCAAGGTAGGAGTTAAGGTTGTTTTATGTAGGGTTTGTTTGATTTCTAATTTCAAGTTTTCTATAAAGAAACCACCTGAAACCAGCATCGTCACGTGACTATCGCCACCTTGCAGTTCGTGATCCTCAACACGCGAGATGCGCTGTACGTGTACATTAATGCTTCCCCTAAATTTAAATCAGCATTTTTATACCAAAGAACACAAGCTGTTTTTGGTTGGCTTTTCTTGATTTATTACTCGTTAGAGTAGTCCGACAATAAACTTTAAAGTGTAACTATTAGAAGGTCAGAACACTGAAATGTTGTTCACTCGCAGTTGTTAACTAAATTTCGCATTTGAAATGTATTTATTTATTTATTTATATTCTATAAATAAGTCCAATGTTTGCCATATTTTATTAAATTAAAACATATTGTTTTGTCACAGGGAGTAACTGGTTGGTATCGACAGAGAGAGAGAGAGAGAGAGAGAGAGAGAGAGAGAGAGAGTGAGACACGCCCGACGAAAGTCAGTCTGCGGGCAGGTTTCTTCCTATTCACCTGTTTTCACGGATCCGACGCGGTGGACGCTACTTTTTTGTTCTTTAAGATTGACCAGTGTCTTATTTTCGAATATGTTAATGAAGATCTCCTTTCTGGTTTTCTTTTCTCCTGTCCGGATAATATTTTTTTGAACAATTCATTTGTTTTTTCCCCGTGAACCTTTTTGTGTACCGTACCTGTCCTGCAAGTCACATGTAGTCTACTAAATAAACCGCAAAGCTGTACCTGAACATTAGGACCGGGACTCTGGATTTATCTACATTTCTGTACAATTCGGAGAAAGAAAACATCGCTTCATTCAAAAAGCAAGAGGACTTCATCTGTTTTCTCTTTTAGCCGTAATTTTCCACTCCTTTAGTGTATACACCATTTAACATGGATCCACTGGAGTCTGGAATGCGATATAGTCCCAGGTGTCCGGTATGACTTTTAATATCTTTATATTTTTGGGTCGTTTTGTCTAGTACTTAACGTTGCTCGGTCCGGTCATGTTGTGATGCGTAGTCATAGGGGTATATTTGCAAACAGAAGGAAACCCGTAACCTCAGAGTGCGATTGTTTTATTGCCCATTACCTTTGCGTTTGTGCAGCGCTTTGAGAGTTTGGCGCACACGTTTATAGCTTCTGAATAAACCGAGTGTTTTATTTTACATCGATTTTTAAAAATTCTTATGGACGCATTGATGATGAATTGTAACTTGTCTGTATAATAGTAACCTAACACAGCAGCTGACTAAGTATCCAATGCTAAATGCCTACTAACGATGATTAAACAATTTTGGATTATAGTTTGAAACGGGTGCGAAAAATATGTATGAACTACGACTTTAATGCTCCTCTGAATGTTAGGGGTGTGTCACAAAGAGGTGATTGTTTGTAGACACTTACGGTTGATTTCCGATGTGTGTTCGAGAAATATCCTTCATATTGTTTTCTCCGGCCTATATGAAGAGGTTACACAGTAATGAGTGTCTTTCCGGCGTGGGGAGGGGGCTGTTTTCCATATTCGTATGAGCTGTTGCCTGCGACTTCCTTAACCTGTGCAGGTACCGTGTCGGTCCCCATACCTGCGACGTCATGAGAGTGACGCACGGCTCTTATTGTCAGTTTGTTTCACTCTTGAAATTTTCGCTGTCTGACGAATGACGAGATAATCTGGATTATTACAACATATGGAAACTGCCAACATCTTCACCGTTTTCTCTGGCCACCTTTTGCTCAAACTGTTTTACGTGAACTTGTGTGTAGAGCTTTAAATTTGCTGATTGCCCCTTTTAAATGTTTGATCACCTGCCCATCAAAAGGTCTCCTAATTGTGGGATTACAAAACGTGAGGCAGTCATTTACTGTGTTGTCTTGGTTGTTATGTAATGTGGTGCAATTTCCAAGGCTGTTTTAAAACATTTTGTAGTAGTTGTTCATGGAGGTTGCTGGATTTATGCTGTTCTGGATGTCGGATGAGACACTGCGGCCCCAGTGTATGTCGAAAAGCTCAGAATTTCTTGTGAAATGTTTTATGAACCAGATGATGCTCCCTAACCATTTTCACTTCATAATCCCATTTTTTTCTCATGTATTCAAGTTTCAGTACATAGTCACATGCGCAGTAAACAGACAGTTCTGCTCTGCAGAAACTCGGTCCAGTCCGGTCAAAATCATACTCTGTCTTGCCTCTAAACAACATACTTCTGATCAGAATTACAGATTAAGAAGGAGCGCGCAGACATATCTGCCACAGTTTACACCACCTCGAACATCTTGAGTGAAGATCTCCATTTTGGTGAAATGTTCACTGGTATTTAACTTCAGACACAGTGCAACTTTATCCTGAGTAATTTTCTCAGCAAACTATACACATTCTCCAATATATATCTAAAATAATTTCTTGATATGTCCAGAAGTTTCAAGTATGGTAAGTGTAGAAGGCTGTGCATTTTGCTGGACCTCAGAGTAAATTAGATTAGATTAGGGGGGCTTCTTTGTGACTCACAGCCTGTCATTGGCAGTTTCACCCAGCTCACCGTAAGTATTTTGCCATCATTTGGAACAGGAGCACCGCCCCCAGAAACTCTGATTAAACCATACAGCTGATCCTGAAGCACAACATGCAATGGTTGAATGAGGTGCTCTAAAGAAGCAACAAAAAAAAAATGAAAGGAATGTAATGCAGAGATTGGGGAACTCCTGAAATAGATTACACGCAGTTACCTTTCATAGCATTCCCAGGATTCTGAGTTGAAACAGTTGTGGAACCTTTCTTTTATGTGAAGGCTTCTAGATATACGAATGTAGTTATAATACGCGTCAACACACGTTGACAGAAAAACAAAGACCACAGAATATAATAAGGTGCAGGGAAATTCTGACGGTTTGAGGAGTACATTAATTATGGTACTTCAAAAATCAAAAAGAAATCATTAAAATAAAATTTTGATTAGGGTATAAATAAGGCAATTTATGAATCAATTTCGATGAGGGTTTGCACACTCAACAGCAGTGAAGGAATATGCTAAGACTGCTTTGCTAATCTTGTGCCTGTTGAATCTGAACCCTGAAACAAGCCCCCCTTCATAAAGAGGCATTATCAGGGATCACTGTTGCAATTGACAGTCTCTGTACCTTGAGCAAAGACCATAGGCTTTCCTTCCATTTGGGTCTTTGAACATTTTCCTTGAAGTATAGAGATAAGCGGGAGCTGACAGTGACAAGACAAAATAAGGGCAATTCTGTACTGGCTTAACTGGCTTTAACCTGTGGGTGGTGGGAGAGGGAAGTATGCAGGCAGAAAAACCTGCGGCTGCACACACAGACGAGATAATACATCTTGGCCACTCAGGCTCTGTGCTGACATGTTAGTTGTTTGAAGAGCTCAATTTAAAAACAACTGCAGTATTTATGTAAGGTTTTCTAGGAAAGGTGATGCTTATCTTTTAAGGGGAAAGGTTACGTGGTTGTTTTCCTCGATTTATTTTAGATTTTTTTTTTGTTGTATTAATAATTATGCAATATAATTATTAATAACTATAATTATTAATATAACTGTAATGTAATTGAACACTAGAAAAAGAAAAGTTTTTTCCCCTTCTTTACTATCCCTAAATACAGGACCTCTTGTTAATTATATTCAAAGGCACGTGCAGAACTTAAAGGAATATTAGGGTGTCGTGAGGTTAAGCACCTTGTTTGCCATATCTTACACGGTACAGGTTAATGTGTTTATTATGCTTTCGATTCTTAAGGGAGGCAGACCCGACTGGAATTCCTGTACTGGGAGGGAACACCCGTCGTCTCGGATGAAAAACTTTTGTCAGCCAGTCAGTAAACCTGTGTGCCCAGAGAAAGGACAGGATTGCTAGAAGTCTTTGCTGGCCGTACTTCAGATTTCTGCAAGCCTCAATTGCTGTGTTCTACAATAGCTTTTGGTTGCTTCCATAGCTATTATTCAGTACTTTCTTGTAATACTTTTCTGAGAGCGATAACAGCGTTAAGGCTTTTATGCATATTGAGTACAGTTCCCTGGCAGGAACGTGGATAAACTGGTATTCTGTACTTTGTCCCTCTGAGTCACAGGTAATTGGAAATGGCACATTTTTTTAATATCCACACTGTATGGTAGGTAGTTATGCAATATAGGTCATGGTCTACCTGTAATGTAATTGAACACTAGAACAAATTACACTGCTTGAAGTAAAAATTTCCCCTGGATTATTTTTTTAAGTAAATGCTAGATGGCTTTGTCTTATGTAAAGAAGCTAGGGCTGAAATGAAGGAAACTCTGAGTCAGTAGGATTATCTTGTGTTGCGATCATTGTTAGTTTAACCTACTTGTAATCATTTTCTATTTAAATTTGATTTAACTGATGCTTTCATCCAAAACAAGGTACATTTTTTGTGAAAGCAGGGTCAGATTATTGGTTTATGGTCCGGTGCATATTGCAGCTTCTTTTTCAGCTATTTTTATTTATTATCAGCTGATCATAAGCAGCAAGGTGACTGAGTGAGGGTTACACCACCAGGTTTTGGGGTTCAGTCCCAGCCTTGTTTTTCTATATGTGGAATTCACATGTCCATTTTCACCATGTTGTGCTCTTTTTTTTTCTTTGGCTGCTTCCATTTTCTTCCGTAACCCTTCTTTAGTGAGTCGTTTATCTAAAGCAGTGTTTCTCAATCTGGTCCTCGGGACCCACAGACGGTCCACATTTTTGCTCCCTGCCTGACGGCCCATGTTTTTGCTCCCTCCCAGCTCCCTGCCCGACGGCCCATGTTTTTGCTCCCTCCCAACTCCCTGCCTGACGGCCCATGTTTTTGCTCCCTCCCAGCTCCCTGCCCGACGGCCCATGTTTTTGCTCCCTCTCAACTCCCTGCCTGACGGCCCATGTTTTTGCTCCCTCCCAGCTCCCTGCCTGACGGCCCATGTTTTTGCTCCCTCCCGGCTCCCTGCCTGACGGCCCATGTTTTTGCTCCCTCCCGGCTCCCTGCCTGACGGCCCATGTTTTTGCTCCCTTCCGGCTCCCTGCCTGACGGCCCATGTTTTTGCTCCCTNCCGGCTCCCTGCCTGACGGCCCATGTTTTTGCTCCCTTCCGGCTCCCTGCCTGACGGCCCATGTTTTTGCTCCCTCCCGGCTCCCTGCCTGACACTCCACATTTTTTGCTCCCTCCCAGCTTCTGGGTAGGAAAGAAACTGTGGGCTGTCTACGGGTCCCTGAGGACCGGGATGGGAAACACTGTTCGAAAGCAACACGTAGTTGAGACAGCAGGGTCAGCCAGTCCCTGGTGCATTTTGGGTTAAGGGCCTTGCTAAAGGGCTCAACGGTACAATGAAGTGGCAGACCATCGAAGATGTCTCTCTGTGCATGCCCTGCAATGGACTGGCATCCCCTCTAGAATGTTCCCTTTTGCTCAGTGATGCCTGCAATAGGTTTGAGGGTCAGGGTAACCCTGTACTGGATAAGTGTCATTGATATTTATTAATGTTATTGTATGTTTGTGCCCTGTGAAGAACTGACATCCTTTTCAGGGATAGGCTCAGGCTTATTATAACCATATGTAAGTTATTCAAGCTAAAATTGAATCTACCCTTATAGCCATTTGGAGATAACCACGTACTAAGTAGGATGGATGGAGTGATCATTTGTAACCACTGATGCCATCTGTGATTTTGGTTTACATGTACACGTACACACTACTAGCTTTTTGCACACACAGATTTTCTACATTTGCATGTTACATAACATTTCCTAAAAATACACTCAATACTCTTTGATAACAAATATATTTACAGTATGTCCAGCATTTGAGTACCTATATTAGCAAGTAAGTGTCATCTTTGATTCAAAGTAACCTCTAACAGTTAAACCAGCAGAGAAAATTCAAGGCATTCTTTCTACAAGGGATATCAAATACTGTTGTTGCTTGGGATGAAACAGTTAACTAGCGCATTTAAAGTTAAAGGACAGCCTAGAATTTGACTACACCATCACCTCACAAACAGTTAATAGGATGTCAGACATACAGTGTTACATACTCCTTCCATGTTATAAAGGAAACTTGTTTTATTTGACTTATATTTTCATTTACTTAGTTCACTTAATTTTCCAGTGCTTAACATGAATTAAAAATCTGCAGTTTATGATATAAATGGAAAAGTTAAAAACCTGTGGTGCACAGGAACTGGTAGTGTATTTATTATCTGTAAAAATAACAGGCAAACCTTAAAATTACCATCTGCTTTTCACCATCTAACAACATTATGCAGCCAGCTTGTTTTAGGTGAAGCAGGTTCCGCATTTTAAAACGACTAATGCAGTCACATAATGTGCCTGTTTTGAGCCAAATTCTCCCTGTCTGTTGTAGGAATTGCACACTGAATTTCCTAGACTTCATATTCCCACTACGTCATACTTTCACATCAGTCCAATCCTTTTGTTGTATTCTGGCTCTTTCGTGTCCCTTTAAGAAGTCCTTTGCTGCCGGCCATGTGTGGGTGATGTTATCTGTCCTGTTTTTTCGCTTCATACCCAGGTGACACGCTGGGGTGCGTCTGAGTCACACTGGAGTAGGACCTGGTGAGCCAGTTTCTCCTGCTTGCCGTCTACAGCACTAAACCAGAAACAGAAATAATGAACGAACCCAAAGCAAATTTTCATTGAAAAGAAAAAAAAAAAAACAGTTTCTGAAGATGGAAGGGGCCGTTCTTAATTTTAACATGCAGCCTAAAATCCTTATCCTTTTAGCATGTCCTAATCTAACCGTGTCTGTTTGTAATTAAGTACTCCGGGGATGAATCAGCTAATGCGTATTCCTCCAGATCAGCCATTTACAGAAGATCACTGATTGGCATTTCACACACAGATACCTCCTGGGCTTTGTCGTGTTTGAAACCCTTGGCTGGGTGTGTGTTTATGTCTTGCCATTCCAGTAGTTACATTTATTGCATCTGTGTGCTGTTTTCATGATTTTCTGGCACCCAGTCCTGGTTCCTTGTTTTTTTTTTTTGTTTTTTTTAATCTTGGATTCGCTGCAGTGATGTTGCATGCTTTGTCCTCAGTGTTTCAGAATTCTATGTTTAGTGTGATTGAAATACCTCTAAAACAAGAGTACAGTTAATTAAGCTGACTTCCTTTTTTTCTCTGAGGTTTCAGTTGTTAAGGAAGCGAAATAAACCTTTACCAGGCACTAAGAACAAACTTGTAATATGTGATTCTCAACAAGTAATGTTTTTTTTTTTCTTTTCTCAACATGTATTGATTACGTAGTATAAATTTACGATATTGGCTACTTAAAATCAGCTGCTCAGGACTTACTTTAGTGCTTAGTAGTAAATGAAGAGCTATGTGTCCTGCAAAGCGGGAGATGCCTCTAGAGATGTTTCAGGTCTCATGTTGATTAATTTTTCCTCATGTGAATCCAGTGGTTTGTTTTTTGGTATAGGCCTAACACTTGATGAGGGATTGCCAGGCTAGAAAATGGAAGACGAAAAGAAATAAAGTGTTAAATAAACATTAAAGAAATTAGCTGGGTAATTTTGAGTATGATAGTGGTAACCTTTCAAGCCTTTGTGCTATCATAAACCTCTGTTTTAATTTATTTCATGGAATTATATGACCAAGATCATATTTGGCAGGATTTTTTTTCTGAAAAACACAACAACTTTATTGTCATTTTGTGGCCATTTATTTTCACGAGGGTAGTAGAGGTCTAAACAACACTGACATTAGTTTGAGCAAAACAACACCTAGCTTTCTTTTCCCATTGAGTACGGATAGAACAGTAATCATGACGCATCAGTAAAATAGCGAAGCCTTTTCCTTCTCAACAGTGCATCTGAGTAGCGCATCCAAAATCGACGGGTCCTCTGGGGACAATTTTAGAAGACAGCATATGTATAATGTGTCCTAAATTAGATAGTCTTGCATTTGGAAATGTTTGGATATTCTTGGAATTGATCATGGGAGGCACTGCTATTACTAAATAATACCAGTATTTTTGTTATGAAATACAGTTGTTAAATGAGATTTCAACTACTAAATGTACAGCAGCGTGCAGCAAGTTTCAATATGTTAATATTTATGTTAAAACATTTCACACATGCTTAACACAACCACAAAACCGACAATATAAAAACTTTTTTTAGTCTGCATCTGAAGTTGATATGTGAGATCGTTAGCCCTAATGACAGTGAAAACCCAGAAGAGCTGGCAACCCTGCACCTTTCACGGCTTACAAGACATTGAAAGTGAACCATATTACAACCAAAACAATTGATTACTGCTTTAGATGAAAGCGTAATGCTTTCGGTTTAGACTTCTGACGGTTTCCATACTGCCATTTTCCTCACTGTTAATGCTTCCTCCCCCCCCCCCCCGCAGGACGACTGGGACACGTCCGTCCAGTTCCTGCCTGCCTCTGATTCCAAGGCCCTGGAGAAGAAGGGCTCTGTGAGGAAAGGCGTCTTTGTTGCCCTGGCTGTGTTTCTGCTGGCGGTCTGCGTTATGATAGGCGTCCTAGTGTGGCATTTTCGCTGTGAGTATCTGCCCTTCTCACAAGAGGTGGGGACTTGAGTCACTGACTCGCATCTCGACTCACTCAAGTCACAAATTTGATGAATTATGACTTGACTCTGTAAAACTGATTTAGACTCCACTTGTACTTGAGGGCAGATGACCTGAGACTTGGACCCGACTTGGACCCTATGGCAAGATGTTATAGTCCTCCCTCTTTATACCATAATGTTAATTTTATAATTTCAGTGTATATTAATTCTCTGCAGTCTGCATTTTTTCTGTTTTTGTATTACTCTTAAACTGTTATACAACATCTTAATGATGTTGTATCACAACACACCCATGTAAAGTGCCTTGGGGCGACTCTGTTGCGAAAGGCGCTATATAAAAATAAATTGAATTGAACTGACTTTTCATTTGACTGAATGCAAGGTATATAGTTTGCTGGAAAGATGCCTTGCTCCCTGCATATTCACAGACACAAAAACTGTATGACAGGGTTATTCAAATCACGGTCCTCGAAGTCTGAGCACTGCTGGTTCTCCAGCCTTCCTTTACCTGTGAGCCAGGTGTGAAGCCTCTGACCAATCAGAATCAGTAATTATTAAACCAACTACCTGGGAGAACTGAAAACAAGGCCTGGATTTGGAATCGAGGTCCAGATTTGAAGAGCCCTCTGTATGAGGACAGTCGTGAAAGTGGAGACACTTTTCTCTGCCTATGAAGGCCTTAACCTTCAACGTACTGTGGCAGTTTTTTGCTGCAACAAATTTTAATCATTGAAAGTAAAAAACTGACATAGGCAGGGAATCAAATTACATGACTCACAACTTTAATTGGATTGGCTGATTTGTGATTCGACAGCAAAAAATGATTGGAAGACTTGGACTTGAGGGCACATGACTTGAGACTTAAGACTTGGACTGCAATTATTTGACTCGAGACTTGACTCTGACTCACCAAGGAGTGTGTTTCTCATCGTGCTTTTCTATTCTATTTTAGTTTAGTTTCTGTTTGACTTTCATTCTACCCATCCAGAGCCCATAAAACTGTAAACAAATCTGCTCTCTTCTTGTGAAATGCTCTGTTTTTCAGTGTTTTTTTTTATTATTTTTTTTTTTTAATTTCTGTATTACATATCCTCCTGTCACCCCCCTCCCCCCTTTTAATATTTGAAGACCGACATGCAACAAAGACCAAGTTAATATACAGTGGCTCCATGAGGATCTCCAACCAGCCCTTCCTGGATAACTATGAAAATTCTGAAAGTCAAGACTTCAAGGATCTGGCGGAAAAGGTGTTACAGCATGTAAGCAGGGGACCTGGGGTATTTCACCATTATTATTATTATGGATTGGTCTTCATTAATGGCATAAGTTAGAATGGGCAAATTAAAGTCTGTAAGTCAATGGTCTTCACCTAAGTTAGTTATGAAGGCAAAGAATGTTCTGTCCGTGCAGCATATGTGATGTTTTTCATATTCATGTTGTTGTTGTTGTTGCTCCTGCTGCCGTTGTTAAGTAATTTAGTTTTTTTAAGGCATTTTGCTGTTAGTGATATTTAGATTAATCGTGTGTATTTTCTGAAATAAGTGACCTGCCCGGTCAACCACTGGTACTTTTCTGTAAGAGTAAGTAATACTGGAATTAATATTACAGTGCCTATATTGGTTTCACATATTTTTATGACACTTGCAGATATTTATTTTCATACTTAAAAGTAAGGCAGCTGTGCGCCTTGCATGCATCCTTCCTTAATGGTACAGTCAGACTTCCACAGCGTACGTTCAGTCTTCTGTGGTCATATAATCTTCCAGTTTCCTGAGCCTCAATATGTGACGTATTGTCTGTCTGTTTATTTCAGCTCAGTGCCGTCTACTCCAAATCGTCACAGCTCTCCCCTTATTATGTTAATTCCAAAGTACAAGCCTTCAGGTAATTGTTTTTTTAATGTATGGAATCACTCCATACATTATGTATGGAATCACGTAGCTTATAGGTTTTTTAATTGCTGTATATCTTGTGAGAAGTATTATTTGTTTCAATTAATCAATTAAAAGTTGAATCACTCTTCATTCATGTGTAATATTTAATGAAACTCAAGGAGAGATGGTTTCAGACTCAACAGTAGGTCTTGTTGTTAACTTTCTCTCTCATTTGTTCCATATAGTAGGTAAAATATAGCTGCTTACCATATGCCTTTGTCCAAAGCAACTCGCAGATATCATCCATTTATGCTGTTTGCTAACCTTGCTCGAGCAATTCCGATTATGCATTGAACCATGATCACATACAATAGCGGGAGCCATACCTGAACCAATGACCTTACGGTTATTGATCAGTATGCTTCCGGTATTGTCATACATTTTTTTAAAAAAATGTATGAAACATAAGCAAGCACTCGAAGACCTGCAGTCATTAAATATACTTTATTATTTAAGAGAATATCGCATTAAATTTAAATTACTGTATCAAATAAGAAATTAGTTCTTGACTTCTTAACTATCACTTAAATATTGTTTTTAAATATTGTTGTTAAGGTAAATAATTGTAGTAATTGTCTTGATTTCAGTTTTAACATCAATAAAAATCTGAAATTTGATCATAGACACAGGCATACATACATTTCAAGGGTGTGTAGATATTTGATATCCACTTACATGAAGTTTGCTGTGTATTCCTGCCAGTTTTCCAAGTTCTCTGTAAGACTTCCGAACAATCTCCTCTGTTGCAGTGAAGGAGACTCGCAGAGCGTGATCACCTACTATTTGTCGGAGTTCTTCATGCCGAGTGAGCAGAAATCCGCAATGGATAAAGCCATGGCCAACATGACCCAGCAGGGCCGTTTGTTGCGAAGACCCAACAATCCCTCCTTCTATGTCGACGACATAGTGTCTGGAGGTACTGTACCACGTGCAGCTAGTCTGTTTCTGGGGGGAGTGTGTACTCAAGTCAGTGATGATTATTTGGTGTTAAATATATCAAAGGCATAAAATCGGAATGGGTCCGGGTATGACTTGGCATCATATAAAATTGAAGCAATAAAAAAATTATTAACTTCAATAAACTGTCAATAGGAATCATTGTCAATATCACATCACATGGCATCACATAAATTTAGGCAAATCCAGCCAGTCATATGGTAATCTTTTAAAAACTGGCACAGCAAGGTTGATTGAGTTAGGGGTTGCATGCCGCATACTACTGTTGTGCTGAAATGGAAACGATCAATAAAGAGAACTTCAGCTGTCAGTAAAGAAAGTGAAAGACCAGTAGCCATAACATCTGTTAAAAAGGAGATAAGGTATAAAGACGTTGGTGGTGTGGCAGTAGTTTGGCAATTTATAGTCTGGTGCTGTGTATTGTAAACTCTGTCATCAACTTGTGCCAACTAAAACTGTAAACTGCGAAATTATTCCGCTCGAAGCACTGCCATCCAGTGAAATACACAGAATGCAAGCACTTACACAGTCAGAGACATCAGTTACTGGGCTTTCCACTTTCAATATGAAAAAAATAAAAGCCAAATCACATCTCATATTAATTCAAGACAGGACACAACATTTTTATTTTTCAAATTAGGGTGGATGGCAACTCTACCACCGTATCAAACCCATTCCATGGAACTAGCAGCTGGACAGTAAGAAGAAAGCTCAGCCACAAGCCATATTGTTGGCATTTTCTAACGTTACGCCCTACAACAAAAAAATTGACAACATTTTTTGTATGATTTATTAATATTAGATTTCAGTGTGCAGTACGTTCAATTTTTCTGTCTTCCTGCTCTGAATCTGGCAGGGGGAATCCAAATGGAATTGTGAATGAATGAATGAATGAAAGTTGCATTTATATAGCACTTTTCTCAACACCCAAAGCGTTTAACAGAAGCAATGGGGAGCTACTTCTACCACCCCCACTATGTAGCCCCCACCTGGGTGATGCAACAGCAGCCATTCTGCACCAGTACGCTCACCACACTGTAGCTAAGGTGGTGACAGGGAAGGAGAGAATTCACCAGTTAGATAAAGGGTATGATTAGGAGGCCAGACCGGATAGGGCCGCAGTGGGCAATTTCATCCAGGGCATCGGGGTACCACCCCTACGATGCCCAGGGATCATTTATAACCTCAGAGAGTTAAGATCTCATTTTTATGTCTCATCCAAAGGAGAGCACCGTTTTTATAGCAGAGTGCCCCCTTCTCTGGGGCACTGGGATCCACACAGACCACAGGATGGGCTCCCCCTGCTGGCCACACCAACACCTCTTACACCAGCACCTCTTAATTGTATGAAAAAATGGAGCCTTGAATTAAAGAAATGATTACTTGACTTATCAAAATCGATAATATATTTTTCCATATCGGTCAGCCCTAGGTAGGGAGCATGTCATTAGTAAGCACTGCCAAGTTTAAACATCTGGATCATCCCATTTTAAAGGATACATATTATATTTATGCTTCCTAGTAAAGTATAGTATATAAGACCCTTCTAGATTATCCTTCCTTTTATGCCGCATCATTATTTCATAAGTATAATCAGGTATAATCAATGCGTAAATTAATTTAAAGGTGGTATAAACTATATATAACATATATGGAGCATGTGTAAGTGACTGCTGATCATAACCACAAAGGCGCTTTATTTAACCAGTGTGCTGACATTCTGTTTCAGCTGTGGACTCACGCATGTTGCGGTCATCACTAGCAGGTGAGACCCTCGGAAGTCCTCCCTCACTAGTGTAATCAGCTTTGTGGTGCCCCTGTGACACTCCTCCCCTGCCCTCTGCCTGTGTGTCCCTCTCCCAGTCCGGCAGTCCTTCGCCCTCCACTGCCAGACTGGTTCAGCAGTCACCTTGCAGTCTCCGGGCTTCCCCAACTCGCCGTACAGCCCCAACACCTACACCGAGTGGCTGCTACGAGCCGACCCGGGCCACCGAGTCAAGCTGCAATTTGACACCTTTAACCTGGAGAATGACTGTGGGAAGGACTTCATCAGGGTGTACGATTCCCTGGTTGCCCTCGAACAGAAGATTATGGCAGAGTGAGTAGAGTCCAGCTTGCTTCCAGTGGTTTGAATTAGGGGTCCCCAACATTTTGATGTCCGCGGACCGGTTACCAGTACAACTTACCAGTAAGTTACAACTAATCAGTAACTCTGAGCTATTAGTTAAGTTAACTTGATGGGCCGAATGGCCTCCTCTCGTTTGTACATTTCTTATGTTCTTATGTTACCATTGCCGATTTGCCCAAGCAATGCTATTCTTAATTTTTTTAGAATAGTGTTGTTATTTATTATTAATATTTTTATGATTTTTTCAATTTTACATTGATATTTTAGTATTGTGTCGTTCAGTTGAGCGTGCCGGTTACTGAAAGAGAGCTTTTACTGTAGGGTGTAAACTGCATCCCCAGCTTTCCATGACATGATGGAATACTGGTTGTGGACTGGTATCCGTGTTTGGGAACCCTTAGTCTTGGTCAATTAAAGTAGTTATTCTCTAAGTCATCTGACAGATTTGTCTGTCTAATGTACAACACAGCAGTGTTTCCCAGTCTGGTCTTTGGGGATCCCCAGATACTCCGTGATTCTGGTCCCTCCCAGCTTGCGGAAAGGAGCAGAAATGTGGGGTATCTGCCAGGGAGCTGGGAGGGAGCAAAAACATGGACTATCTGGGGGTCCACAAGGACTGGGTTGAGAAACGCAACTATCAACATGCAAATGTAAAATTGCTTCATTGAAGCTGAAAGCTTCACTTTTTCTGATTTTTATCGTTTATAAAATGCTTAATGATTTACCTGTTGGCCCTATTATATGAGTACCCAAGTCTGCCCTGCAAGCCCTTATTGTTTTATCTTTTTGTTTCTGTTAGGAAATGTGGGGTTTATCCACCTAATGAGCCCCTGTCCTTCGTTTCCTCGGGGAACGTCATGCTGCTTACTTTGGTCACCAACGAAGAGAAGAACTTCCCTGGCTTCAGAGCACGTGTCACGCAGATACCTCAGAAAATAGGTACTGTGGCAATAGACCAGGAAACCATGTGTGTTTCTCAATATCTAGAATGCAAAGATCATATTTGTGATCTTGGCAAGAACGGTCTTGCTAACTTGCCTTTCAAAAACAAATTTGGGCAGCAATGAATCATGGGATTTGTCTCATTGGCAAGGATGCAATCAGAACAGTCAAGTACAGATATTGATAAACACCCCATGACTCAGGAATGGGAAGAATTGTGGGAACTCTTCAGATAGGATGTCAGTCCATTGCAGGACCTACATACACACAGACACTCAACTTTACACACTATGGGCAGTTTTGAGACGGCAATTCACATGACTGCATGTCATGCACTATGGGAGGAATCTTGATTAAGAAAACCCACACAACACAGGGTGGATGTTCAAACTCTACCCATGCAAAGCAGGGGTTATTGATACAGTCTATTTCTGTAATAGGTTTAAGATACAATCACAGATAATTGGTGATCGGTAGTTGTATGATTCGTTTCTGTTTCTACACAGAGTGTGGTGGAACTCTGACGGGGCTTAAGGGGACCTTCACGTCTCCGGATTTCCCATCGTACTACCCACCCCTGCTCCGGTGTGTGTGGAACATACAGGTGAGTAATGGAGCAGCCTCACTGTTTTGCTCTTTCCAGACAAGCTACCGGTCATAATCACGATTAAAGAGGCACCAATGAGTTTGTCATCTTCCTCAGGTCCCCACAGGGAAATATGTCAAGGTGCAATTCAAAAAGTTCTTGATGTCTGAGCCAGGACAAAATATCAATGTTTGCCGTAAGGACTATGTGCAGGTTAACACAACCAAGTAAGTCCGTCTCTCTTGCTGAAGTAATATTCTATAACCCCTGATAGTATTTAGTCATGTGAGTGAGGGAATTATTGATGAATGAATTATTCTTTTTCACATAACATATTTATTTTATATGGATTCTAAGGAGCACTACTTGTGCATATCATCTACAAAGAGCAAGTTGAGGGAGGCGTAAAAACAATTTCCCCACGGGGATCAATAAAGTATCAATTATTATTAATTATTATTATCATTTTAGAAGATGTCTGTGTTGTGAACTGAGGGAAATCATTCAGTTTTTCAACTTTGAAAGAGAAACTGTATGAAAAAGTTCTGAAAGAGAAGTCCCCCTGGCTTTCAGATTGTGTGGAGAACGGTCTCCAAGCACTGTGGTGTCCGTGAAGTCCAACAAGATGGAAGTCATTTTTGACTCGGACATGTCTTACGTGGACCGCGGCTTCTCTGCCGAGTTCCAGGCCTACGAGCCCAGCGACCGTAAGTCTGAAGCCCTGACATGGATGTTCTTGTGAAGTAATCCTAAGTACTCACCAGTGAAACCACATGAGAGAACATGGTCTGTGGCCTTTTGTGAAGTGCCGGCCCTCCCTCCCATCTGCAGCCTGCCCTGAAAAATTCCAGTGCAGAAATGACATGTGCATTAATCCCGCCCTGAAATGCGATGGCTGGAATGACTGTGGCGACAACAGTGACGAGAAGAACTGTGGTAAGTATGAGTCATTTGCCTTCTCCTGCAGGTTCATATATAGGGATGAGGCACTTAGCCAGCATCTGTCTGTCTGTCTCCATCTGTCCTGTCTATCTTTCTGTCTATCTCTGTCTATCTGTCTGTCTGTCTCTGTCCTGTATATCGCCGTCCTGTCAATCCCTTTCTGTCTGTCGGTTTCTTTCTCTGTCTCAGTTAGTCCAGTCCAGTCATTAATAAGGATTTACAACACCCAATCCGTGGCCAGTATTCCACTGGTTAGCTGTTTTGTGGAGGGGTTGTTTAATTTCCGAAAATAAACTATATTTTCAATATTCAGATGAAACTTATTGCTGACTGATCTGCCAGCACCCACCCACCCCTAGTTGTTTTACCTGTCCTTGAAATTCCCATATGGCATAAACCGCTCCATGGACATAAAACAGTTGGGAATTCCTAGTCTATCACACTGGCAGTTTTTTTTTTCTCTCCATACTGCTGCTGGAAAATTCCCCCAAGGAGTCTCCTCAGTAAAGTTCATAACTAAAGCTGAATGCGTCTCATATCGTGTTTCAATATTTTTTCACAGATGTTTTTTCGGTGTCTTTCTCTCGTCTGCTTTTTCCTTTTCCTCATCCGGTGTGTGCTGTCTGACCGGGGTCCCGTTTTACAGTGGAATGCGGCGAGACGCAGATCAAGTGTAAAAACGGTTTCTGCAAGCCCAAGTTCTGGCAGTGCGATGGCGTGGACGACTGTGGGGACATGAGCGATGAAGAATCCTGTGGTAAGGCCCAACAGGCGGACATGAGACCACAATCGAGTCGGGCCCCAATATGACTCCAGGGTAGGATACAAGGTTTGGTAGCCATTTAAAGGGCCCTGCCCCTTTTCACCTCTACAGGACAGTGCAAATCTAAGGCGGAATTCTTGTGCAACAATACAAAATGCATTCCTGAGAACAAAAAATGCAACGGTTATGATGACTGCGGCGACGGCTCGGACGAGAAGGGCTGCACCAGAGGTGAAGAATGACTTATCCGGTTAGCGAGCATGGCTCTGCGCGACTGGGTCTGCACATGCATGACCCCCACCTCTCCTCTCTGCTCTGTCCAACAGTGGTGGCATGCACTGACACGTCCTACAAGTGCAAGAACAGCCAGTGCATCAGCAAGGCGAATCCCGAATGCGACGGCGAGAAGGACTGTGATGACGGCTCTGATGAAGTAGACTGTGGTAAACCTGACAGCCGCTCCGTCTCACGCTGGGAACTGAACTAAGTCTGGCTGATTAACCGGCAGCTGTAAATGTTTGGGGGGGGGGGGTGCATTTTACAGGACGTGGCACCTTATCCACAGGTGTAAATTAGCAGCGTGAGCGTGAACAACACAAGTCATATAGATAGGCTGTCTGCATTACATTTTTTCTTTGGAGGTAAAATGGTTTAAAATTCACAAAAGTGGTTTAACATATACAAATACAGATTTTGAAGGAGGTCACCATCATGGGTGGAGTTTTGGGGAGCGCAGTCACTGCCCCCCACCAGTCGAAATTGCAATTAATTGGTAAGACCAGCATTGCGCATGTTCTGCACTGGCACTTTGCACGTCTGCATAAGCAGTTTTTTGGTACCTTATAGATAGACAAAATAATATGTGCATCATATATCTGCGTTAGCACTTAAGGTAAGCAGGCTGCAGTTTTTTTTTCCTTCCCCCAAGTATAAACATCAGACTCTTATGCTGACCTCCTCCTTAATGCAGAAGCCCCCGTCCAGTTTGTCTATCTGTGTGTGTCGCGTACGCCTGACTGCCCTCCTGCTCCGCAGAGTGCGGCGTCCGGCCCTACAAGAGCTCGCGCATCGTGGGGGGGCAGGCAGCCGTGGAGGGCGAGTGGCCCTGGCAGGTCAGCCTGCACATCAAAAATGTGGGACACGTGTGTGGAGCGTCAGTCATCAACAACCGCTGGCTGGTCACTGCCGCACACTGCGTGCAGGATGACAAGGAGATCAAGTACGTACCCCGTCAGTACCAGATACATACACCTTTTACCTACCTACAGCGCTGTTTCTCACGGACCATCAGACAGTCCACATGTTCGCTCCCTCCCATCTACCAGCCAATAACACTGAATACCCAGTAAAAGTATACTCACTTTCTTTTACCCATCATGAAGTTGATGTTTTTTTAACAACATCTGTACATTATACTTCAAAGGTCACTCTCACCCCAGCATGCATTGTTGTCAGGTGTATGAAACTTGGTTGTTAATACACAGACTAGTCAGAAAATGAATTTTCTGTGACCGTCATTTGCGAGTGCTTGCTAAAAAAGGTACCATTCAAAAGTCTGGACACACCTGATTTAATTCATTTGTCTCTGTTTTCGCTGTTATTCATGCCTCGAGGCAATAAAGAAATATATATCAAATATTGTGAAGTGTTCAACATCTCAGTGTTAGACTCTTCAAATTTGCCCCCTTTTACTTTGATGACAGCAGTACAGACTGTGACATTTAGAGATGCACCGATACCGATATTCGGATCGGTATCGGCGCCGATCCAGACCTATTTGACGGATTGGGAATCGGCCATGCGTGACCGATCCACGTCCTATACTTACTTATTTAGTTTTTGGCAATCAATCGCACGACAGCTCTTTCCCATTTTACATGTGTGTTTTTGCGGAATTCAAATCGAACGCTATCACTGCCCCTAAGTCTTTTTTGCTACTCGGTGGGTGTGAGTACAGTGACTTCCGCCTGCTGTGAGGTCATGCGCATACCCTTCGCAGTACGAGGAGCGTAAGATAAGACGTGACGATCTGGGAGTATTTTAGGCTTTTAACAGAAACCGGAAGCACAGCGTTTTGCAATCTATGTAAAATAAGGGTTTGAGGTGGGAATAGCGTTTAATGGAAAATCCCAACTGCGAGACAAAACAAAGCAATGGATGATTTGGGAGTCGCTAACTTAATTGGACTGTTTTGCGAACTCGTTGCTTGTGATACAAGAGGGGCTGCCATCGCAACAAAAGTGTAACTGCGCTGATGCCAATGGGAGAAAAACTGTTAAAATTTTAAGCATTCGCCACTTGTGTATATTTGCTTTGAAGATATTCATATTGAACTGCAAATGCCTCAAAAACGCTTAAAACAAATGAGGTGGAACAGTACGTTATGTATGTTTGTAGTAGCCTAATTAAATATTTTTTGTCATACATTTTTTCCATCTGTATTTACTAGCTTAAAAAAAAAGTAAAGTATAACAAAGTAAAAAGAGCTCTTGTATCGGAATCTGTATCGGTATCGGCAGTTGTGTATCGGAATCGGATCGGAACTGAAAAAACGTGGATCGCCCATCTCTAGTGACATTCTTTCGAGCAGCTTCCAGATGAGGCACCTGGGATGCTTCTCCAAAAGTCCAGAAGGAGTTTCCACAGTTTTTGGGGACAAGTTGGCTTCTTTGCTCTTACTTTTCGATTCAACTCATGCCAAACCAGCTCTATAGGGTTTAGGTCAGGGGGGGCCAGGTCATCTGTCACAGCACTCTGTCTTTTCCTTTGTTTCCTTATTCGCAAGATATTACTTCCTACATAACCTTGAGGTGAGCTTGAGGTGTTGAAAAACAAATGATTTTCAGTAGGTGTGTCCAGACTATTCATTGGTAAGGCAGTGGCCAAACAAAGAGTGGTGATTCTGCGTTTCCACTAAATTAAACTAAGCACCGAAAAGACTGTAGGCCTAGTTTTAAAGGATCCGGTGGACAGTCAGTAAGGATTTTGCTCCCGTGTGTGTGTCCACAGGTACTCCCAGCCCCAGCACTGGGAGGCCTACCTGGGGCTGCACATCCAGGGTAAGATAACCGACAAAACCGCGAAGAGGAACCTGAAGCGGATCATCCCGCACCCCTATTACAACGAGTACACTTACGACAACGACATCGCGCTCATGGAGCTGGACAGTCCGGTGACTCTCACCCAGAGCATCTGGCCTATCTGCCTGCCCTCGGAGACGCACGAATTCGAGGTTGGCAGCAGCGTCTGGATCACCGGCTGGGGTGCCACGAGAGAGGGGGGTGAGTTTGAACCCTGTGTGTATCTGTGTGTGGGGGAATTGGCATGAAACGCAAGAATTTCCTGCAAAGTAATTACATTTGCCTCTTAGCTGATTATAATAAACTCTATTGCGACATTATCCATTTGACTGCAGAAGGAATTGTTTACACCTTGCTTTTAGCAAGCAAGCCCACTGTCTATTTTTGTATAATGTTAGCATGTCCAGGGGGCAGTTGGCCTTAGACCCCCAGAGGTTTTTTTTCCCTCCCTACTTGGGGGTTTTTGGTTCCTCTCCTCTGTTATCATCTGATTTTCTTTTTCTTTCTTTCTTTCTTTCTTTCTTTCTCTTTCTATCTCTCGTCCCTGTTCCTTGTTCCCTGTTTCTTTGTTTTTCTTCATGATTTTGTAATGTATCACAACACACCCATGTAGAGAGCCTTGGGGCGACTCTTGTGAAAGGCGCTATATAAAAATGAATTGAATTGTTTTACCTTTTTATTAGTTTATTAAAAATCAATTTTATTTACATTATTTGAGAAAGCTTATGTATTACTTGCCTTGCTTGCCTTGGACATGAATGCCAGCTAAATAATGCGTGAGTGTAAGTACGCCTCTGTTACTCTCTCCCGCTGTGATTTTTAAGGACCGCAGTCGATGTTGATTAACCTGCCGTGTGTCCCTCAGGCTCCAGCGCCACAACCTTGCAGAAGGCCGAAGTCCGGATCATCAACCAGACCGTGTGCAACCAGCTGATGAGCAACCAGATCACTTCGCGGATGCTGTGTGCCGGCGTGCTGAGTGGGGGGGTGGATGCCTGCCAGGTAGGGCTGTTCACCAGCGTGCGCCTTTGCCTCTCATGACTGGCTGATCTGGCCCCTGGGCTCACTAATCGGCCCCCAAATGTGTGTATTAGTCCATAGTGACACTTCCTTCCTGCCCCTTTCCAGGGAGACTCCGGGGGCCCAATGTCAGCATATGGCGCCAACAGGCGCTTGTTCCTGGCGGGGGTGGTGAGCTGGGGAGACGGCTGCGCCCGCAGGGACAAGCCGGGAATATACACGCGGGTCACGAAATTCCGCAGCTGGATCAAGGAGAAATCGGGAGTATAGCACGAACAATAGACTCGAGCGGGAGGGAGGGAGGGCAGGCTGGAGTACCTGAATGCAGAACTGCAGCGCTTGTGAGGAAACACTCCACCTTTGGACTCTCCACGCAGCCCAGAAGCAGAGGGGCCTTCAGGGGTCAGCCGTCGTATCCTAGCCCCCCCCCACAGCATTGTGCACAATAATCCCATGCATCGCAATTTCCCTGTTTTTCTCCCTTCCAAAGTGTGTATGCGTGTGTGTGTTTTTTATTCGAAACCTACCGCATTTGAACAGTGAACTTTTTTTAACTGCTTCACACTATTTTGTTTATTTTTTATTACTTCATGGTGTAATCGGTTAAAGTAATGAAAGTGGGTACACTGGTGATCACTTATTAAATTGTCAACTAAGTACCCATCCCAAGAGACTTTTAATTAATCACTGTTAATAAAGTTCAGGTTATGCAGCTGCAGTTGAGTCTTGTTACTGAGACAGTGAAATCATCTCACTGTGGCAGAGAAGCAGTTACCTTCCATGCTTATAAGGTAGGGAGGTTCCGCTATGAAATATCATACTTCCTTACTCATCTTATGTGTTTGTTGCTCTGTTGTCTTTCATCGCTGAGTTTGCACCATGTTTGTGGTATCTGCATGAATGTGTGTTTTACTAAATATGATGTCCTCATGTACTCAATTAAAATAACTTCATGGGTCAGCGCATGAAATACAATGTCTCTCTTTAAAGGAGATGAAGTTGTGTTTAAGCATGACATGAGATTAATCCCTTTTTTTTTTTAATTCCATGGATTTTCAGAGTCAGAAATGTCAAGGTTTCTTTTGTTTTTTAGGGATTAATGTTTCATTTAGTATTCAGTGGTTAAATGTTAAGTTTGTATTTTACACTAACGTGGCGCCGGCCAACGTTTCTGTATGGCCAATTAAAGCAGACGGTCTAGAAAGGAATAACAAAAGACAAGAAATAACGTCTACATTATTCAGCTGGTACTGCCACAAGGTGTGGACCTGTCACTATGGAAACATCCAGCAGCAGTTACGCAATAGCAGACACAACCCTCAGTCGACTATTGTTTGAGAAATTCTGCTCTCTCTGCCTGTAATTTGATCTCCACACCAGTGCAAGAAAGGCCTAGTGAGAGAATCGGTGTAATTAAGTGCCATTGTGTCCCAACAATGTGCCCTTAGAGCTCCTTTTCAATAGCCTGTCACCTCGTAGGCCTCACAGAATGTCACTCCTCGAAAAAGTTAACTTAATGGCAACTTTTGGTCTAAGCCTTTTTTATGTTGCTTTTATTTGTTAAGTAAATTCATCTGTGGATTTTAATGTTTAACTCTTACCGACTCATGTTTGCGCCTTTACTGTGGTCTGCCTAAGAAGTAAAATTCCTGTTTTTGTCTCTTGTGCTTATGTTGTATTTATTTTTCGTCTGGTTTTGTGAGTTTTTTTTTTCAGAACACAATTCAACCCTTTCAGGAATTTGTCCTTGACTACAGGAATAATCATCTAGGATATTTTTCAGTTCCTTATATTTTGAATAATTTTCTGCTGTTTGAAATTAGACTATACTGTACTTTCATCTATAATGCTGTGTAGAGATTCCATTTTGTTGGTCAACAGTTAGTGATTTACTGTTTAAATATGTATGTTATGTATATCGGTGTTGCTTACTCCTCCCACTCGCTGGCTGCTTGGCGTCCTGTCCCATTCCAGCTCTCCCCTTTATATTTTATTTGTTCAAATAATTAAACTGAATGTGTTATTTGAGGTAAGCTTGTTTTGAAATAGAACTATGGAAGAACGTTCATTATGTTGTGTAGTCTTTGATTACATTGATTCTTAGTCCACAAACAATTAAGCAGGATATAACTCTTTCAACTAAATTAAAGTTATGATTTAGACAAAGCATAAAAATAGTTACGATTTTTAAAATGATTTATACCTAACCTCTAATACCTCAAATAGCAACTCCATAACTTAGTGACAGCTCCCTAAAAACAAAAAAGATTCATTATTGCTGCAAAAAAAATGGTATGTCATGCAGACAGTGGTGAAGCCAAGGTTTGGCAAGCACCGATATATAAATGCACAGATATGTATATCATTCATTTTCTTTTTACTTTTTGTGAAATATGTAAATTGTTTATCTATGTTTAATGCTACACTCTTAGTATAGGTTATGTTTATGTGCATATGCCTATGGAGTTACCTCAGCAAATGAAATACATGCTTCCAGAAACCACTGAACATTTGTGCACATCATATCATCAGTTTGTGACAAAAAACAATTTAAAAATTGGACAATAGCCGCCCCAAAAAGACATATATTTAAAGGATGTTGAGTTTTCATATCTCTTCTGTCTTAATTGCTGTAATCCATTTTGCATGCTCAGACGATTAAATTTAACCAGAATGTCCATTTTCTCTGTAGGAGGTAAGTTCAGACTCTTGACTGCATTTTGGAATAAAGATCGCCATTCCGTGTAACTTTCGGGACAGTCGTTAAATGTTAAAAAAAAAAAAAAAAAACCAATAGAGACTGGTTCTCTTCAGGATGTGTAACCCAAAATCCCCCCTGCTTTGGTTATCATAAGGTAGGGTAGGCTCTCGACTAGCACGACCTAAGTTTAACACTGGAGACTGCTATCTCTTTGGATTGGAAGTGCTGATTTGTCTAATCTCATCCTGCTTGTTTTGTGGTTTAGGATTAAAGCTGTCTGCTCAGTTTTACGGGTACATATATGCATATACAGCTGTCCACAGACCTCTTTATTATAAGTGTGTATGAGTACATATTGTAGAGTACGTCGTAGAACCTGCTACTCCTGTACTGAGGACGAGGTTGGTGTTCCCACAATGTGCCTTATTTCAGCAGGGCTCTGCAGATGCCCAGGTGTTTTGCAGCCCTCTATCTTTTCATTTGCATAGAGATTTTAAATAAAGATGAAGTGAACTTTCCCTTTGTGAAGTAACCTCTCTTGCAGTGTGTTGTGGAATATTTTATAAGTCTTCCAAAAATAACATGAAACATGGCATATAGCAATGATATCAAAATACACTTTCAAAAGGATTTCAGCCTATTTTCCATCCATCCATCCATCTTCGATAATTCCTTATATCTGCTCAATCATTTGTACTCTTGATAATATAACACAAAGAAAGGATGATGACATGAGTTTAAATTATATCCATAAAATATATGTTTTTCACTCTGAAAAGTATTGAACAGAATAAAACTGTATCAGCTACACCTACACCATGGCAGTTAATTTACTGGCCAATAAATGGATTTGTAAAAAAATGTATCAACACCCAGTAGTTAAAAATGTTGGAAATCTTCTAGCATTAACAGTTTGGTAGCTGCTGATGAAAATCACTAAACGGGCACTTCAAGCACTAGAAGCTGTCCCAGTTTCCCTTTAAGGAAGAGCCCAACAACTGCTAGATCTTTCCCATTCTCATACTTTGCTGAGTTTTTGGCTTTCTAAAAGGAGAGGAGGAAATTGCATATATACTGTACATCAAAGGCTCTGTTTGGTACATGACAACAATATATGGTTCTGCAGGTGAGGACTTTGTGACCAGAAGATCGCCAAGTTAAACCCTGTGCTTGGCAGAGTGACGGCACTATTTGTCCCTTAAGCAAAACCCTTAACTAGGGTAGGAGGACCGTAGGACTCTTCAAATTTGGCCCTCAATTGCAAATCCAGGCCTTGTTTTCAGTTTTCCCAGATAGTTACTTTAATAATTACTGATCCTGATTGGCCACAGAGGCTCTACACCTGGCTCACAGGTAAAGGAAGGCTGGGAAATCTGGTTTGTTTCCTTGATTGAAAGAGTCATTCAGCTGTTTCACATTAACATTAGTGACACATGCATGATTATAGGAGACTGACCAATCAACAAGAATTAACTAGAAAAAAAATATTTTGTCTAAGAAATGAAGTCCCAGCATTTCAAGAGACAGCAGGTGGTCCACATGGCATAAGTGCTGATTGATAATTATTTGATAATTATCCTGATAATCTCAAACAAATTCATTATGAAATATTCTGGCCTATTTTTTAAAGGGTTCTGTTTGGATCATTTGAACAAAGGAAAATAAATATCTTAAAATAGAGGTGGATAAAGTAGAAAATGGTGTGTGTGGCTTAGGTTCATATTACATTGTGGGAACCAAATGTTCCCCACAATGTAATAAAAACCTGTTTTTTTTTTTCATTTTGGGGACCATTTTCAGGTCCCCACAAAGATCTGTGACTGCAATCAAAAAAAACGAAAATGCCCAAAGTCTTGTATTTAGTTTGTTTACTTATGGTTAAAATTAGGGCTGGGTAGGGGTTACGGTCCTCATGCTGGGATTAGAGTTTTCCCCAAAGAGATGAATAGAGAGTCCCCATAAAGAAGCATCTCTTTTCCCTAAACATTTGCGGATTTATTTCCTCATAATATGTCGAACACAAAGACGTCATACATCCTTATAGCTACCTATCCATGCATTGTCAATAATTGCATAACAACTTTGGGAGATCGTTTATTTGTACCATTGCTTATGTATCACTAAACACAGGGTAATGGGAACGTCTTCATGGAAACTTAGATGTAAGACGTGTTTCTAGGGGTGCTGAGTTCTGTGACGGAACGGAAATGGTCCTTTCTTGTTTTCATTCCGCGATCTTTTTTCGGTTAAATTTGTGCACTTTTTCTCAACTCCAAGGTAAATACGTTTTATTGTATTTGGTTTAGATTGATATGTCAATTTTGTAAAATAGCAAATAATATTCTTATCACTATCGATGTCACATTTATGTCGATGATAAAAAATTCTGCAATGGCAGGCAGCTCGAAAGCAAAGGCGATGTTTTGTAACATAATGTTTTCAAGATAGCTAGACTTCCCTGGGAACTTTCCCACATTAATTGTTACTTTCTACAGTTATCTGCTGTTAAAATATTTTTTTAATAATTTTGCATTTGATGGCAAGTAAGACAATATGATGTCGTTTTGTAGATATTCAACACAGAGAGCTTTCCGTCGCCTTCGTATTTTTAATTTGATTACCATTGTAGACGTATTGCTGCAGGCTTTAAAGGAAACTGTGTGTGTATATGGGTGCTGTGTAATGTCTATACATCGAAGAGATATTTCATCGGTATAATACCAGTCTCTAGCATACACGGAGTCTCGTGATTATTTGCTTACTTCGGGCACGCTTGTATTTCATTTAATGTGTACTTTTTTTACCTTTCTCATAACTCCCTTTCCACCTGGTTACCAATAAATTATTGACCAAGTCGATCCAGAAATGTATTATTTTAGTGTGTATTTGCAGCACCTATAACATAGTACGACTAAATGAGAAATGCTTCTGGATTTTGGTTGTAAAATCGCATTGGATGTTCTTTGATTTTAAACACAGTATACAAGTGTAAATTTATTTCTTTATTTTAGGATTTTGCTACACGCCCAACGTTCATGCTTGGTTATATTTCTACAGTATTTTATGTTTTTGGGGTAGTTGGGGCATGGATGCTCTTGACCACATGCTGACTGACCCCCTGGACCCCGGGGTGGGTAGCGACGGCCGCATCATGGAGGAGTGTCTGCTGGGGAACAGCCGAGTCAGCCTGCCGGAGGATCTTCTGGAGGATGTTAGTTTCTGACGAAATACTGTAATTAGGGTGTTGTTTTGGACATTTTCCCCCGAGATTTTACATTAATTAGTCCAGTTGTGTGGCATTAATACAAGCTAAAATAAGTTACATATGTTTATTATTTCATTTAGTTATAAAACCTTTCATCTGAAATAACTTTGTAGCTTGAAATTTCACACACTTATGTAGTGAAAGACCTAGATATTCAGTACCTCCATCACTTTAACTTATCATGAATTTTTCCAGTAGTTTTCTCCATTATTAGCAGTTTTGTGTCTAACTAGTGTGAAAACTAGTGTGCCTAACTTTGTATTGTTTTCAATATAAATGTGTTTGCACTGGTTTTCTTTGTTTCTCTTCTCCAAATAGCCTGAGATTTTCTTCTCCGTCCTGAGTGAGAGCACATGGTCTAATGTTTTGACGGATCCCCAACGGCAGCGTCTTCGTCAGTTTCTTCCTCAATTCCCTGACAACTGTGCCGCTCAGCAGGACAGTGTCATCAGTGACCTTTTTAATAATAAGAACTTCCGCTTTGGAAACCCGTTGCACCTAGCACAGAAACTCTTCAGAGGTAAGTCTGTCATTGTCCCTTATTGCAGTGTTTCTCAATCCACTCCTTGGGGACCCCCAGGCAGTCTATGTTTTCTGAGCTGGGAGGGAGCAAAAATGTGGACTGTCTGGGAGGGAGCAAAAATGTGGACTGTCTGGGAGCGTGCAAAAATGTGGACTGTCTGGGAGGGTGCAAAAATGTGGACTGTCTGGGAGGGAGCAAAAATGTGGACTTTCTGGGAGGGTGCAAAAATGTGGACTGTCTGAGGGTCCCCGAGAACTGGGTTGAAATGGACCGTCTCATTGTATGGTTTATTTTTGATATTTCTTATAATATTGTTTTTTTCTTTGCTTGTCAGATGGCTATTTTAATCCAGAGGTGGTAAGATACCGGCAGCTCTGTGCCAAGTCCCAAAAGAAGAGGCATCTCTACTCTCTGCAGCAGTATTACCACAGGTTACTGAAACAGATCCTCATCTCCAGGAAGGTATACGGGCTTTGAAACCATTTATAAATAAGTATGCTGTCAGATCATGGTCCTCCTCATAAATTTCTGGTGTTTTCTTCATGGCCCAGGAGCTGTTGGAGCAGGCTAGTCGTAGCGGCCCTGATCTTGCGATGAAGCGAAGATATCCCTCCCCGTCTCGTGGCGAGGCCCAGGAGCTGCGGGCCAGGCGGCGGTTTTACCGAATATTGAGGGAGGTGAAGAGCGAGTGTGGCGATGGCACCTTGTCTTCTGATGATGAAGGTAAGTTGAGTACAGTCCTTTAGGACGTTTGCGTGTTTATCATAAAAACCCTTGTTCTGTAAGAAGTAACTCCTTTCTCTGTTTCTTTCTTGCAGATATGGGCTCATGGTCACCAGCTCCCCAATCTCCCTCATCCCCAACTCCCACAGTTTCCCTTAGAGTTCTTCCAACCCTCTCAACCCAAGACATGAAGACCACAGGTTAGTTTCCTTCCAAAGGCTACATCTATGGCATTTATGGCAGTGCTTCTCAACCTTTTTTGCACCTGACCCGATTTTTACCATGCCAGCCCAGTCGTAACTCTATATCAAGTATGTAATTCAATTAATGCTATGATCAAGCACACAGTGCACGCTGCAATTTAAGCCAGTCAATGCCTGTCGCACAAATCTGATTGGATGTACCAGTGAATTTTAAATTAAGCAATTGTGGATTGTCTTCTTGGATTGGTTGAGTGTTCACTAGTTTTGTGCTAAGCATTTGCAGACCCAAGACCTGTTTATATAGGTTAATTCTAGGATTAGGGAAACATAACCTTTTTGTCTTGGCAGAGAAGCTAGAGCTGAGGGAGAAGGACCTCAGGGGCCTACTAAGGAGGCACAGAGAGAAGCGAAGACGGCAGCCGGTCAGTTCGCCAGTGTTTCCATCAGGAAATGTTCTCATTCATATTTGTCTGTAAATACTCCTAAAGTAGCTGCTGTCTGTTATCAAGTATTAAATCCAGTCTTTTGCTTTAAGCCCATTTATTATTTTGTCAGTAGCAGTTTTTGTAACATCCTAAGATGTGTCTATAAGTGTCTGTCTGTGTGTGGGCAGGATCACCCTGACCTAATGACTGTGGACCTTCATCTCGGTGACATCATGTCCAGGGTGAACATAGGCAGGAAAGGCTCCATAGCGGGTGAGTACTCCAGGTCCACCAGACCACCCACATTTTGGGGTGCATGTACTTGTATGGAGACTGTACTGATGGTATTATTTAAAGGAGCACAACATTAAAGTATAAAGCAATCATCTTATTCAGTGTCCACACACACACCTTTCTTAAAGTTGAATTCCTTATTTTCATATACAGTCAAACCTCCCTTATCCGGACCTCCGATATACGGGCACCTCCCCCTACTGGGCAGCTCTAGACATGCGCATGCGCAAATTAATTTTACATAACCGGCAGCTGTTGTTACGAGCCTCAGTCTAGGGTTGGGGTGTAACAGAGTGAAAGGGAAAGGGGACGTGGAGTAAGGGAAGGACAGGGTGTGACGGACAAGGGAATACACATGGACAAAAGGGTATTTTAAACCTGGCGTAAAAGGACTAGGAGTGACTATAGCAAAAACAATAAACAAAACCCAGCTTTCAAACGCAACCCAAAGCTAACTTACTTAAGTGCAGAGAAAACAAAAACACCAACTACAAATTTTACACCTTACTCCCTATCCAAACAGCAGCATACAACATAAGCTTGCGAAACAAAAATGCCAGTCACTCCCTATGCACCTGACACACACAAAGCATACAGAGATCAAAGCGTCCGAGGGCTGCGCAAAGACGTTAACCAAAAAGCGGGCGAGAATTCGAAACCAAATGGCAAGTAAACCAAAGCGAAAAATCAAAAATCCAATAAACCAAACAAATCATACACAGTAATATCCATCAAATAAAAGCAAATCAGCAACAATTATTAATACGTGAGCAGAGCTCCCGAGACATCTTGTGGCTTTTCACTTCGGAAGACGGAAGTGACGAATGTCGCATACAGACAGTCATGGGCGGAGTCTGCACGTGGAGGCGGAGCGAACGTCGAATGGAGAGCGAGCTAGAGGACGAGGCTGTGGGCAGAGCTGAACTTACAGCGGCGCGTAACACTGCAAAATCCATGGCTTCAAAAAGGAAGCGTAGTGTCACGTCCCTCCAATTTTATTACAGAGATACGAAAAGGAAAATCACCATCAATTGTTGCAGACCGTTTTAGAGTCTACGGTAGGCGATATTTGGAAGAATAAAGAAAAAACTGGATGACCACTGCAAGAATAAAACGGAATGATTCGCTAGCTCATACTGAAATAACATCCTATTATAAGCCTTGCACCTCATAAATATCATGTAGTTTGTATGTGTACACATATAATATGTACAGTACCATGCAAATTCTTAGGCAGTCGTAAAACAGGTTTAAATGATCTTCGTGTCGGTGTAAAACTTCTCTATTATGTCTGTCAAAATGTGTCAGCTTAACCACTTCAGACCCTCCCCTAAAGTCACTCCAGTACAGTGGTACCTCGGTTCTCGAACTTAATCCGTTCCAGACTCCGGATCGAATCCTAAAAAGTTTGAGTTCTGATCAAATTTTTCCCATAAGAAATAATGGAAAACCAATTATTTGGTTCCCGGCCCCCCAAAATTACACCTTTAAAAAAAAAAAAAAACATTTTTTAAGCATTTAAACACAAAATGAGCAGGATAAAACAAGAAGAGCATTTTTTTCTTAATGGCTTCCAAAACGATAGATCTTATCCCTACATTACCCTTGTCCTGCCCGGCAGGGTTGGGGCCATTCTGGAATGCATTGATGAATTCCAGTCCAAATCAGGAAATGGAACTGGAGTTGGAACTTAAATCTCCTTGAAACTGAAATTCAACTCCAATTCTGTTCCCCGTAGTTTTTTTTTCCAATCCCAGCTCCATTTCCATTTCCTGATTTGGACTGGAATTCATCAATGCATTCCGGAATGGCCGCAACCCTGCTGCCCCGATCGTCCGCTCCTTCCGTGTGCCACGCCCCCTCGTTAACCTCGAGTGGGATCCCCATGTGATCAGCTGTTTCTGGTTGTTGTCATTAGGCGTTAGGGTTAGGGTTAGGGAACATAAACATAACACCAGTCCGGTCATTGGGTGCGTTTGACTTGCTTACAGCGCTGGATTAAAGCAACGCATTCTGATCCTGACGCAATGCATTACGGTTAGATGCATTGCGACCTCTCACCCGGCAGCACAAACTGGAACTGCCTCTGTGACGACACACCTTTGCCCTTATTGGCTGAAGAGTTTAGGTACACGCATGACGTTTTTATCCCAGGCAGTTCCGATGCGTAATCTGCTATTTCTCCCGAATATCACGTAAAGCAGTGAGAACTGGTTTTCAGTGAACTTACCTGGTAAAATAAAGTTTAAATAAATGACATAAATGCTCTAATAGTACACGTAA